GGCAACAGCAACAACTGCACACGCAGAAGCGCAGAAGCCCCCCCGGCCTGCCCTCGTCCTGCCCTAAACCCGAAAGCCGTCCACCCTTTCTTATCCCTAAATCTGCCATCGCCAGCATCGTCCAAATACCCTACGCTTTACACGTCCAATTCTCAGCTCCACGTTGTTTCTAGCATTCTTGAGGGTTTAAGAATCCTATTGGGGTTTTGGCCTTCATACTACCAAATAGAAAACTCGAGACAGACAGGAGAAAGAGAGAAAGTGAGAGAGAGAGCGGCTCCCACACCAACGACGTTCTGCTGACTTCTTTTGCGCCGAGTCCATGCGAGTTCAAACTCAATATGTCCAGGCGTGCAGATCCCGCTGCAAAGCCTCTCGGAAAGTTTGGTTGGACAGGGAGTCGGCATTGATCTGCGCCAGTAGCTGTGCACTTGCACCCAGACTGCGAACGAGGGTTTCAATGTCAGACTGGACAGTTACGCAAGTGGCTAACCCTGTGTGCAAACAGTCGATCCAAAGTAGCTCGCTGTCAGCGTTCACGATGAGATTGGGCAATCGCGCATCTCCATGGGCAATCCCGCTTTTGTGCAGATCATGCAGGCAATCCAAGACATCCTCCAATCTTGTTGCAGCATCTGTCTGGCTCAACTTCTGGCCAACAGGAGTCGACAAGTAGTAAAAGCAGTGCCTGTTGCCTAGTGCCACTGCTTCTAATTCAGAGATAGGCTGTGCAACAGGGCATCCCTGCTGGACCGCCTGCTGTAAACTCGCGACCTCAGCCCGCGCTAGCTTCTCATCATTGACGAGCTTCATGGCACAGCTGCCACGAGTCTCATTGTAAACGTGAAAGACACGTCCAAAGGAACCAGAGCCCAAAAAACCGAGCAACTGCACGCTGGCATGCTGCAGGGCAGCATGCAGGGATCTCTCGCTGTGGGACTGCACAGCGAGAAATGCCCGTACCGCGTCGAAGGAACCTTCGGTTCTCCATTCGCCTTCCAGCAAACGGGTCGGAAATTTCTGCTGGCATTTCCCCGCCGCTGTCAGGAGGATAAAACTGCGCTTGTCAAAGAGCATTCCGCGGGACTCGCCGTCAGGTAACGAATTCAGATACTGCCACAGCTCTGCCAAATCCGAGGGTTTCATGTCTAACTTGGCCTCACAGACTCGCAGCGAATCAAGCAAGCCTCGGTAAGGAACCCCAAATTTGTCTGCGGCATTTCTTCCAAGCCGGGCGCCCTTTGGTGGCTTGTGTGCATCGTAGCACTTCTTATGAGCGATGAAAAAGTCAGGCTTCCAACCGGTCGTCCATGCCAACCGTTCGGAATTGATAACGACATAGCCATCAGAGCAGAAAGCTTGCAAATGACGAGTCATGTGAGCACAGAACACCTCTTCTGTGTCAAGCTTTGAAAGCTCAGCAAGGTCAACGTCTGAGATAGCAGGGGCCTGGCCAGGCCGAGCCTGCAACGTGTCGCTACTCTCGGCTACCATGCGAACCTTGCTTGCGAGGCTGCCTCTCGTAAGGCTCTCCCATGAGTCTCGTGGTTGACGTATGGTCATGCCTTGCAGCCCGAAACGCGAGATCATTCTCCATGCTGCGCTCAGGACTTCGATGGGAACACTTGCCTTGCCAGGCACCAGCTGGGCAGCAACGAATCAGTAACAAACCCTTCTTCCCTCACTCTCGCGCGCCTCATTTGCCACAGAACTGACAGAACTGGAAGACGACACCTGCGAGAGCACAATGGCACTTGCATGGTGCGACCGGGGAGGGGTCCCCAACGGCATTCAAATCAAGAAAGGCAACATTAAGGAATTAAGGTGTGACAATGCGCGACAGGTGCTAGATATGGGCTGAAAACTTCGAGTTTTGGGACGGTTCTGGATGGCAGCCTGTTGTGCAGCGGCCGCCGGGCGGGAATGATCAGCCTTGCCAAAGCTATTTCAGCAAACAGCCTCCTCCC